CGGCATGCGCCCCAAGACCGAGAAGGACAACGCTGTGTCCCAGGAAGGCGCGGGTGATCCTGGCACTGTGCGATTCCTTGGGCCTGGCGCCGGAAAATCCTACAAATGATGAAAGTTGCTGGCGCCAGGCTTCTTCCGGGATTGCCGAGCACGGGGCCCTGGTGCCATGATGGGTTGGCTTGTATTACCATAGGGTGGTGCGTTTTAAGACTCTGTAGATTATGGCGATTCTTAATGTTAGTGGAATGGCGCGTTTTGTTGGAGAGGGGAAAAATGGGCAAAGCATTTTCAATAAAAAATGCAAAGATCAGGAATTGAACTTGTGACAATAAAACTCATATGTCCACTGAGACACCCTGGCGGGGAGACGTGCTATGCGTGGTTGGAGAAGTAAAAAATTACAATTTTTTTTTAAAGGGTTATATGTGCTTAACTCTTAGTTTTTACGATGTCAAATGGGGCGCAAGGCTTTCGGATACTTCAAATCATTTTATTTGTACTTCCGGGGTCGCTGTCGCCCTTTTCCACGGGATTTGTCTTTGCGGTTTTTAGGCCAAGCCCGCTGAGAGAAAAGGTTTCCACGGCGGCGGGGTCGCCACGCCCCCGAGCCCCTTTTTCCATTTATCTGATTTTATTTTTCGTGGCGCCCTGCCTCCCGGCCTTTGCGGCCGTTGGTTCTTTGTTGTGGTTTTGCGTGGCGGGGGGGGCCGGGGCGGAGTGCGCCGCCGACGCCCCGAATATTTTTGGGGTAGCGGCCGGGTCGGGTTGGCGAAGGGGGTGTGCAATTTTTTTAAAAATGCGTTTGGCCCTGGGGTGCCCTCGTTTCTTTATGTTGCGGGGCAAAAACGGTGGCGTGAGGGGGCGCTGGAAATGCTGCGGGTGTTGCCTCTGCCGGCCGGGTTTTTTTTTTTTATATATATATTTGAGGTTGCGGCAAGAAATGGTCAGATTTACGATGTTGCGGTGTTGACGTTGCCCTTATTGTGTAAGTTTTTCCGACAAAACCGGCTTCCAAGGGCAAGTTTGAGAAGATCCACCCAGCCCAGCTTTCTCTGCCCCGCAGGTTGTGTGGATTAAAAACGCTTTCAGCACATCCATTTCGTAAGTAGGGAGAAGTTTAACTATAAGGGTATTTTGGGATATCTCGTTTGGGGTTAAGTTTGTTTTTGAGGAAGCTGATGCAGATCGACAGAAAACTCATAATATCACTTTCTCCCTCTCTCTTTTCTATATTGTCTCTGTTAGAGAAAAGTAACTCTGAGACTAATCTCTACCGCCTGATACAGCTTTGAGTGTTGTAGGTTATGAGCATGGCGCTTGGGTTCTGGCTTGCGTGTATTTGCAGTTTGATTTTGCAGGCAGCCGCTGAACAGCCGGTTTCATATCCAATTGAATGGGAGAATGTGCCAGCGGTTACACCTGGTCCGCGGAATCTTGAATCTCCTTATCTTGGTGAATGCATTTGCGATGTGACGTGGGGTTCCTGTGACCCCAATTGCTGCTGTGATAGCGATTGTGGTGAGGAAGAGCGGAATAGGTTCGAGTTTTGTTTTGCAGAAACTGTCAGTCACCCTACAATTTGGTACTGCAATGAATACGATGAAAATAGAAGAGTAACTGGAGATACTCAAAGGTACCTTGACGAAAGACGTGATGGATTTGGTGCGATATGTGTTGTGAAGTCAAATAACGCGAAGGACCTGATTCCTTTTTTTGTCTTCCCCAAGAATATATCAAAGCCACGTGACGTCTCTTCTAATGACTGGCTTAGACAGAACGGATCTAGAGGCTACACAGTAAATGGAGGGTTGTCATTGATGAAACGCGTAGAGGTTGACACTTCGACTTTCGAGTTAAAAAGCATGGGTCTTCTAAGTATTCCAGTGGCACGTCACGATGGATACTGCACACCACAAGGTAGGCGTGTGCGGTTTATGAATCCCATAGATACTACTGGTTGTGTACTGAAGGGAGGAAGTATATGTACACTCTTTTCAAGCGTTATGTACGAAAATTTGTTCTTGACAGACTTGAGTAATTCTACTTCTCGTGAGTTTACACCTGTTACGCTGCAGATTTTTAATGAAACATCTGGTGAACTCCTTGCAACGGTCGATTCAAATTCTAGTATTCCGGTGCAATATCAGACAGTAATAAACGGTACGGGTTGCCAAAACGCTGTTATTCGAGTGAAAACATCTCTGGTATACAATTCTAATAAAACTGGATTGATTTTAACTAATGCAACTTCAAAATTGTATGTGCGTGACATCAATCTGAACGATATTGCTTCAATGCTGTTTCAAACAGAGTTTTTGCGTGAGGGCATGGATCCACCATCGAACTATTTTCCTGGTGCCCCGGGCTACTTTGACGGGTCGCGTGTGAGGGCTGGTACACTCGTGGAGAACAATGATAAGGCGGCAATTGCGGAAAGGGTTGCTGGATTCTCCGTTCCAAGTGGAGGAAGGTCTTGTTATCAGAATAATTACCGTAAGACGGGTTTTTTGCACGATGTCAGAAGCAGCGGCTGCAGCATCTCGGTATCAGAAGGTGATTTGCGTGATATATGCTCGGGGGGTGGAACGGGTGCTTTGCTTCGAAACATTCTCAGTATAAATGCAGTGGGTTCACCTGGTTTTGATGTTGTTACAAGACCTATCGATCATGTAGCCCGTACAAGTGATGCACATACAAATGATACATCGAGCTGGATACATATAGAAGGGATTGATTTTGGCGATCTTACCCCCAGTCCATATGATTCTGTTGAAAGAAAATGTAGCAACATTTACGTGGGGTTGCAGTATAAGTTTATTGTGTCTCGAGTAGGTGCTGAAAGCAATCCTCAAAACGTTCTTGTGGCCGCATTTGCGGATCCTATCATTGGTAGTTGGAAGATACGAAACAATAGTGATTTCACCATGAATGCAACATCCACTCAGTGGTTTCGCTTCGAGGTTGCTTTTTCATGGGCGGATCCATATGCTAGGACAAAAATGAATCGTCGGGTTATTGCTCCACCTATATTGCCTCATTTGGACGATACGGTTTTTTATCCCTTTAAGCCACCTCGATAGACCATAGATATGTGACGGTGATAACCTTCTTTTTTCCCTCTCTTCAAACTACAAAGAAAAAAACATCAGAAAACAGCGTTACACAAGGTGAGGAACACGATTTTTGTCATATGAGATCCATCTATTTTTCTCTTTGATATGTACATACTGTCTTTTTTTGTTTGTTCTACTCTTTTAATGATCGCCTTAAAAAGTATTTCCCTTTGCGTTTTGCCTCGCCAAGCTTTTTATTATTGTAGAATAATGCGCAGTAGTTGTAGTCTCCGACGTGGCGTATACCATAATGCGCCTAGCGTTTATCCATTTGTTAAGCCTTTTCACGATACTCCTTATGACGAGGATAGGAGCCGGCATGATGTTTTAAAGCGGAGATTGCGTAAAAACAACTGGCCTGAGTGGATGGATAATGGTGCTGATGGAACGGGATACGGAATAGGACTTCATCGGGTGCACCCGCTATCTAAGTTGCGTGGCAACCTTAAAAACAGCCCGACTCACATCCCGCGTGTTTTGAGTATGATGATACAAGGTGTTTGGCATAAAAGTGGGGTGAAGTTGTATTTTCGTGGAGGAAAGCCACCGAATCCGAGTAAACATCCATATCTAACAGGAGAGCCCTGTCCTGTTTATGGGTGGAGAGTAACAGATGAATCTGTTATTAGACAATTTAACATGCCAAGTGTCGACAGCGCGAAAATACGATACAAACCCTATGTTGCTTTGCAGGAAAGAAAGATTATGGGCCTGAAGGCACCTGCACCGATTGAGCCTTCCATGCCAACGAAAGGCACTGAAACTAAACCTTTGGTTAAAAGGCTTTTCTTTTGGCAGTGAAACTGTTTTTTTCTTCGCCTGTTGTTATCGTAGTCGATGCGATGATTGCTTCTTTCTCCTTGCATATAGGCGTTTGTGTGTAGCTGTGTCCGTAACACGTTTAATGTTTCTTTTTTTTTTTCGAATTTCATTGTTTTTTTTGTTTTACTGTTATTGTCGTTCTCTTTTTTCCTGTTTTTTGTCCCTTTTTTTCTTTGCCAAACAAAACAAAGTTGTGATGCCATGCAGGAGCTTATCGACACGGTCAATTGGTACACGTTGCGTGGTACATCGTCTTCATCATGTCGAAGAGCCGCTCCCAAAAAGGCAGCGAGACAGCTTGTAGGTTCCTTTGTTTCTCAGGGGCGGCTCAATTCTTTTTGCGCCGCACTAGTAGCTCAATTTATGGCGTCGAATGAAGTTCTTGTTGTGGTTTCGAGGGATGCTATTCAAAGTATTTCTTGTGATGGCTATACACTTGAGGCGCGAGCTTCTGCATCAGGCCCGAGTGCAGGAGAAATTTCTGGAATTGCAGCGGCAGGTGGTTCTGCGGCTGTTAGTTATAGTGCTGGCGTAGCGAGATATTCATCGAGGTTGGAATTGGAAAGGGATGCCGCATTTGGCGGGTACTCAAACAACATTCTCAGTATTGCTGTCACTCCTGATGATAATTGGATAGCAACGGGAGGTGGAAATGCGACTGTTACAGTCTGGTCACGCGATATGAATCCTTTGCATTATCTAGCAGGCCATACAGATTGGGTTCGATTTGTCAAATTTACGAGAATGTATAATGATACACTACACCTGTTCAGTGCTGGAGATGACGGATTAATTCTCCATTGGGATCCTTTAACTGGCGTAATGCTTTCGAGACTAGATTATTCTCAGGGACAAGGTATTCAGGCCTTTGAAGTTTCATGGGAAAAAGGACTTATAGCGGTTGCGTGTGATAATCCAACAATTGCTCTCTACAAACCCCAAGACAATGAAGGTAAAATGGCCCTGCGTAATGGTGAGGTTGCCAGACTCGAAAATATTGGACGGATTACCGATGCGCATCGATCGGTTCCTACTGCAGTGCGGTTTTCTAGAGATTCTCAATGGGTAATTAGTGCTGGGGAAGATGAAACACTTGCTGTTTCCTCAGTTTGTGAACCAAGACGGATGTTTGTCTGCTGCGATTTTATTACAAGACGGCATTGTATGACCTTTATGAATACATTCACTTCACTTTGTATTCTTGCTTCGCCACCCGATTCCACCGTTATAATAATTGCAGCATGTGCTAGTGATGGCACTGTTATCCAGTGGGTCGTTAATCCAACAACTTCGAAATCCACCTACACAAAGAAATTGCAGCTGCATCTTGGAGCGCTTGTGGCTATGGATGTGGTACGTGGTACGACAGAGTGCTTATGACTGAATGTGTTTGCTCTGGGGCTGTTGCGTGGTCATGCTTGAGAAGCAAAGAACTTTGCCCGATAAATATATAATGAATAAATTATGCTCAATATTTTGAGTCTCTTTTTTGATTTTCTATTCTTACTTTCTCTTCTTGGTTTGAGGATAATGGCGCTTATTTTAGCTGACGATGTGGAAAGGGAAGCAAGAAGGATTATCGCCACGGAAAATGCGTTTGATGCACTCGCCTTAAATCCCGTCGATGCGAAAAACGAGGTTGTGCTGAAACGCTATGAGGAAAAAGTTGCTCCTCTTCGACGGTTGGTGAGGAATCGGTTGGCGATGGAAGCCAAGGCCCGTTTGGACCATGCCAAAGTGTTGCTACTGGATGAGACTCTTCGTGCCAAGGAAGTGCTGAAGTTTAATGAGCGTCAGCGAGGCTTTATAAAGGGAAGGGAAGAGTTGAAAGCAATTGAAGCAAGGACTAAATTGTTGGAGGCACGTGCAGCTGCACTTTCATCGTAAGGAGGAAAAAAAAAGGACTTTGCTATGCTTCTAAGAACTGTGAGAATGGCATGTCAAAGTTGCAATTCTCGGTCTTGATGCAGATTCCTATGCGTATGTATGTATCCATGTATGTATATATAGGTATATTCTGTTCTTTGTTTTCGTTGTTCACTCCTCCTTTCCCCTTCACCCCTCATTCCCCCCGCCAAACAAAAACTACGACACGCCAAAGGGCTTGTACTACAAAAAGTGAAAATGCAGCGCAGTCTTCTTCCGGGCCACAACAACAACCGTCACCTCAGTGTTGAGGAGCTTGAGAATAACATTGGCGGCCTTCCCATCACTGATAACAAGCTTCAAGAGCTCTTTGACTCTCTCGACACGGAGCACAACGGTTACCTTTCCATTGAGGATGTCAAGCAGTTTTACAAGTCTCTGGAGCACTATGGACTGGAACCCACCGATATGGAGGTAGTCAATGAGATCAAGAAGTATGCGAAGAGCGACGACAACTTTATGACATATGATGAGTTTTGCTGCTTGATGCTGAACTTTGCCCAGCGATGAGATGTATGAGGGATTTATACACGCAGGGTTCAAGGAATTTCATCAATGTATAAATGGATGCCTTAGAAGGTAGGTATACTGGAAACCAGAAGGAATAGAAGGAAAAAAAAGAGACGAGAAACAAAAAAAAAGACATACAACAAAAAAAACAGACTTGGGAGAAAGCCGGATGCAAAAGAAAAATCATTGTGAAGACCAGCATCCAAATGTATATTGATTTTATGTATTCTCTTGAACTGATGAAGGTATGGGCAGAGGATCCACCAAATACCAGAAGAAAATGTTTTTTTTTGTTTCTTGTTGGCTCAGCTAATCCTTTTTTTAGAAATAAGGCAAATACATTGTGCAAATCCGATTCCTGATTGGTTTCTAGACTGTTCCTTGCCTATTTCTTCCCGTTGTTTCATTTTATGTGCTGTTATAGTCTTTCTATGCATTGCAGAGGGATTCTTCATGAAATATGTTCCTTCCTCAGAAAGACTGATTTGGTGCAGCTGCGACAAGTGTCACCTCTGTTTTGTGCCGTGGCATCGACATTTCTTCCTGAGCTGGAGTACCAGTGGTTGGTTTCCCCGGTTATATGTCAACTGGGCGTGGAACTTGCACCTCCATGTGCGGTTTTGGCCATGACGTTCTTGGAGCAGCAGCGAAAATTGCTAGTTTGTACAGCGAGTGTGGATCATGGTGGTGTGGTGGAGTGTGGTTTCTATACGCATGAGGCGACCGCCCCTAATGAAAGCACAAGACGTTATGTGGAACTGCCCAGTATTTACGGGAGCAGAGATTCGCAGGTGCGGTTCGAAGGCCAGCGCTTTTTGCTCTGTAGAGCGGTGGATGGGGCGCTGTTTGTTTTTGACTGCGCATTGGAGGTCCAAGTTCGAATTCCCCACGGATGTGAAGATTTTTTTGCATCGAGGGATGGCTCTCGCCTTATAGTTCTACACGAGGGATACCTGCATTATTTGGAACACTGTAGCAGCATGTTACCCTGCTACTCCTCCTCTTATCGGGCCTCTCATAGGGGGTCTTTATTAGTTCCCTTTGTTGAGCTAAGGCTGCAAAGGAGCCTGCTTTCAATTCCATTGGAAATGAACAGCCTCGCGTGGAATGCAGTGAGTATTGGTAGAAACTCTGCTTTATGTTTGCGTGATAACACCGCGATCGCCTTCACCGAGGAATATGATGGCAGTAAAAGAATTGTATCAACGTGGTCCTTCGAGAGAGTGTCCTTTGGGTCCTGGGGTGATGACGGCATGTGCTGCACATATACGACGGCGTTAGGTGTCGATGAATATGTCGTTGCCACCGTTGCTGGTGAAGCCCTTCATTTCGTGCGGCCTTTCTCAAAGAGTGTGCTGGCGCGTAAGCTGGAGATCTCTTCGCTTCGTCCCGCGCTTGTGCAGCGATTCGATGTACTGCAGCCGGGGTCTTCCTTTGCACTCGTCTTGCTTCGTCAACAAATACAGGAAGTTTTCTTATTCACAACGGACATGAGTTTGGTGCGCTGCATTAGGGTCGGTAAACCCTCTGCGATGGCCATACTGCCTTCGGAAGGTGTGATGATAGCTGCTCCACTGCCACACGCAACTCTCTCGGGTCACCCGCTCTTGGAAGCGGTCGAGAGTGGTGTGGGGACGGCCTTCTTTTTCGTGGGCGATGGGGAGTCTCTCAGTGAGGCACCTCAAGGAAAAAATGACGTCAGTGGTGTAGAGGTACTCTCATGGATATCATTCGGATTAGTGAGTGCCTCTCTCATGTGGACTGCGTCTGCTCTTGTGTATAATGGATGGTGGCTTCATCTTCAGCTCCTTTTCTGTGGGAAAATGGCGTGAACGTACTTATTGCCGGTGCATGCAAATCTTCTCTCTGCTGTGACGAATTGACGTATTTACCGGATTTTTGTTGTCGATCCGTAACGAAGAAGCCCCCCAAAAACGGACGCACATGCTCGAACTCGCTTCATTTTGCTTCAGTGAGGAAGCAACACATCTGTACTTTTTGCCTTTTTTTTCACTCTCTCATTTATCCTTTATTCTTTAGCTCTGGAGCCGATGCCGACTTTTGAGTCCTTTTGTGCGGAGGAGTCGCTCCGACAGAGGCGAGAGGGCTTCAAGGTGCCGACGACGGCTGAGTCGTCTGCGTACCTCCAGTGGCAGCGCGAAGCCCGGCGGCGTTGGGAGGCTACCAATGGGAAAGACGAACAATCACTCATCACAAAGGAAGTTGAGCGAGGTGCCGCGAGTGTGATAGCTGCGGTTGAGAATGAGGCACATTGCAAAACATTCGCCCTGCTTCCCAGTTTTTTACCGCCACAGAAGGAGCAGCGGGAGATGGTGTCTTTTTTAGAGTTGTTGCTGCGCCTGTCGATGCTTGATCGCGATAATGCAGGTTTGCTAGCTGCTATCGGGGGCTTTCGTAGCTACGTGACTGAGTTGCAGAAAAAGGGTGTTCTTGCATGTTCCCGGGGAAAGTACCCGGAAGTGTACATTTTGTACGAATTATTTTCATTGCGGAAGATATTGCTGAACTGGGGAAAATTCAAACCAGAACATCAGAAAGCGGCTGCGGACACGGCGTTGGCGCTTGTGGATCATGCAAAATCGCCGAAATACACGAAACTAGGGATTCAACTGAGAGAAGCAAAGGAGAACTCACAGCCAGTTGGTGGAGCTATCACTGACATAGTTATCTCCTTGGAACAGGCGTGTGGCGATACACCATACGCATTTCCCTCTCTGTGCCGTAAAGTGATGGCGGTGGTGCACCCACATTACACCGGCCCGTCGGGGACGCTGGTGTCTGATATCGCTCCAGAGAACGCTGTGATCAGCGGTGATAATATCACTTCCTCGGACGATGAGTGCGTTGGTAGCATCATTAAGGTGAATCGTCTTGCAGTAAAGCGGCCGAGGCTTGAGTACACGAGATCTCTACCAAATGCGGTAGGTTCCACCGATCACGCGACTAAGGCGGCGGTGGTGAGTGGCCATGATGCCTGCTGCTCCAAGTTCCATGCGCTCTACTCCAAACCAGAAAAGCATGCCAGCAAGGGATGCCAGTTCTGCGTTGTTTGCCACATGATGGAAAAGCTGTTTAACGGTTACGCAAATGACTGCTACTGGAATCATCGGCCAACTGAGCGTAGGATAATGTTCCACCTCAGGCGTTTCCCTGATGTTTGTGCCACAGCATTGCAGCGCCTTTCAAATCTGGAGCAGGGTGTGGTGCTGCCCCCGTTTCATGGTATCCCTTTGGGTTGAGTTCGAAATCCCACATGAACGAAACTCATACATTAGAAAAAAAAATATGTTTGCATATTTGTTAGAGTCAGAGAGAATGGGATTTATTTTCTCTATCACAACCCTTTTCGTTTGCGTCTCTTGGTCTTTGTCTCTCTCTTTCTTTCTGTGTTTCAGTGTTCGTGCCTGTGTGTGTACATTGTACTCCAAGCAGAATAAAACAATGTCTCAGGAAGGTTTCGATAAACGAACCGACGTTGCGGAGTCCGTGGCAGCCCTTATCGGGGAAACTCCAATGGTGTACCTTAAGAAGATGAACAAGACCGCAGCTCAAATTGTTCTGAAACTTGAATCTGAGAACCCTATGGCATCTGTTAAAGATCGCCTTGCCTACGCCATATATGACAAGGCGGAAAAGGAAGGGAAAATTATTCCCGGCAAGACTGTTATTGTGGAAGCTACGAGTGGCAACACTGGCATCGCATTGGCCCACCTGGGGGCCGTCAAGGGCTACAAGGTCATTATCACCATGCCGGAATCTATGTCAACGGAACGCAGGTGCTTGTTGCGTATTTTCGGTGCCGAACTTATTTTGACACCTGCCGCATTGGGCATGAAAGGCGCCGTGACCATGGCAAAACGTATCGTGAGCAACAACCCAGATGCGATACTTGCCGATCAGTTCTGTACAAAGTACAACGCACAAATCCATGAAGAGACGACAGGACCTGAGATTTGGCGGCAGACGAAGGGTCGGGTGGATTGCTTTGTGGCCGGCGTGGGGACTGGCGGTTCGCTGACGGGTGTGGCGCGTTATCTCCGCTCGGTTGGTTGCCAAGCCAAAATTGTCGCGGTTGAACCCGCGGAATCTCCAGTACTTTCTGGTGGAAAGCCCGGTCCACACCGTATACAGGGCATTGGAGCCGGGTTTGTCCCAGACGTTCTCGAACGTGAATTGGTGGAAGAAGTGATCCAAGTAACAAGTGATGAGGCCGTAGAGACTGCAAATAAGCTTCCACGTACAGAAGGCATATTTTGCGGATTTTCTGGCGGTGCGAATGTCTGCGCTGCCTTGCGGATAGCCGAACGCCCAGAGATGGCTGGCAAGACTATTGTCACTCTCATCCCATCGTTTGGAGAACGCTATTTATCTACGGCACTCTATCCAACTTTGCGGGAAGAAGTTGCCGCTCTACCCGTGGTTCCGGCGTCCGAACTTCAGTAAAGAGAGTACTGAGCTTTATGTTTTAAGTGATTTAATGAAGTCGTCCTTTGTTCTTTTTTTCGTTTCGTGTTTGTTTGTTTTTTTTTATTTGCGCTTGTGCGAGTGTCATAAAATGAGAAGCAGAGGAAAGGGAAACAATCAGCGAACGATATACGGGTGACGACTGCAAGAATAGGAGCCTGATGTCACTGTTTGGTCATCCTCCTTCGCCTCCCCTCGTTTACTACAGTGATGTCGCTCATTTCTACAGCTTTATTCTTCCTAATTGGATAGGATAGAAAGACCGCATACTTCAGCATGAGATACGGGGACGTTTTGCTACGTCTAAGCGATGCAGAGCGTGAGGACCTGCAACTGCTCATTGCCGCTCTCAGGGTTAGTGAGTACACAGACGATGTAGACGACATAAGATATTCCCACCGCCGTGAGGAGTGCATGTGCAAGGCGATGCGTGAGCTCTTTGACACAACTTTAGGCCTCTATATGGCGTCCGGTAATGTCGCACGAGAGATGAGAAACGAGATTGCCAAAGGTAATGTTAGTTTGGGTTTGACCCTGCACCTCTTGGAAAAGCTGTTCGAAATTTTTCGTCGTCACAAACGACTCAACCCCTTTAGCAACAGGAGTGAATTTGGCAAATTGACAATGCTCCTTCAGGATATTCAGCGGCGTTCCGTGAAGGATCGACTGCGCATATCCAGGAGTCTGATACGTCCTGTGCAAACAGTTGGGGCAGAGCTTCGAGCGGTTGGCGCTGAGGCATTGCTCGGTGATCCGGGTGTGGAGACCTATCTAAACTCTTCTGGGGAGAAAAGAGCTGAGATTTTCCAGCGATTGATAGATCATTACGGGGCTGCCAACCATAGTGCCGTCGTCGAACGCTGTCTGCGTTCTATCGATGACGTCCATCAGTTTATTGAAGGCAATGTTAAGCCGCTTCAATGGATGCGGCATGTCATCCGTACAGAGTTTTTTCGATTGGAACCCCAATCCAAGCACAACCTCTCCATCCGTGCAGGCGTAGGTGGCGCGAAGTTTTCTCACGATCACAGACGCCAATGCCAATATGTTATGGAATCCCTCACATTGTGGGAAAATGTGCAGCGCAACATTTTCGAGTTCTGGCAGGTTTCAGAGGATGATATGCTGATTGAGGGCGAGGGCTTCTACTCGTTCACGAACACCGGTCAAGGGTTTCACCGTATGTGCCGCGCACCAAGGAGCTACGCGCGCATGGAAAGGTGTGTGAGCGAGGCAGATCGTGAGATGGGTGGGTGGGTTGGGATAAAGGTAATTCATTTAGGTGACCGTGACGTCCCTAACCCGCTGGTGTTCATTGACAAGTATACCGTGATTCCTCGCATTGTACAGCCGATAATGCACACTGTTACAGCCCTTGAGCGTATATTTTCCCCAGACACACCGGAGGAGCACCCAGGTATTCGTAACCTGCTGCGGACCAAGTATAACTCGTACGAGGAACTCCGAATGACGATACTGTCGGACTTCTTTCGTCATGGATTTGACGGGTCTGGTGACGATGGAGGAAGCTGCATTGACGGAAGGCTGACTTCGGCGTGGAACTGGTGCCATCAACTAGAAAAGAAGAACTTTTACGATGCCTTTGTTCTCACAGGGTTCAATGGATTTGACTGAGGTGAATTTCGCGTTTACTTGGACTGCGGTTGTCAGCTGACTTCTCGATGGATTCGAAGTTTGGTTGTTGTTTGTCGCACTATAACTAAAAACAAAAGAGAAGAATGTTGAGAGAGAGAGAGAGAGAGAGAAAACAAAAACAAAAAAAAGAGTACAAGATCAACGTCTCGCGTAAGAGACTTGGTGCAAAGAGGAAGGGAGACTGTGCCCTTTCCTCTTTTGTAAAATAATACTCTTGCAGAGCAATTGGATTTTAGTAATTCTTCTTCTTCTCCCCCCATTTGCCTCTCGTTTACTGCAAAGGTGTGGTGCCGTGCCCACCAATGAGGTGGATTCCGCTGGACCTGAGCCGCTCTGCGGACATCTGCAGTCAAGTCGACACAGTTATAAACACGTACACAACACTCCAGAGGCAGTTGCCACAACAGACGGCGTCGAACCCCTCACAGATTGCCAAGGCACTCGCTGTGCTGCGACGCTCCTTCGCAGATCGCCTAGAAGAGATGGCTGTGTTTTACCAAGAGAATGACCTTGATGCACGCAGCGCCGCAGTGGAAGCGGCACGGCTAAGGCTGAAACGCTTCTTACGCTCCCTTGATGTTTCCGATTTATCGACAGAGTTGCAGACAGACTCTTCCACAGTGCCGCCACATGACAGCATGATGATGAGAGCCGCCGCGTGCAGCACGGGCAACCAGGCCGTTGGAACAGGTAGACTAGAGGAAAACGATGATAACGAAACAGTAACAATTCGCATTGTTCTCACGGAGGCGGAGTACAACGAAATCCTCACCCGACGCGAGGCTTTGCGGCAGTTGAAACTAGATTCCGTGGTGTACAATCGTTAGCGCGTGATTTGTTTTGTTCTTTTGGTAATGTATGCCTCTGTCTTAGTAGTTGTCTATTTATTTATTCTTGTGGGGTGGAGGAGGACTCTGAATGCACAATGGCCGAAAAGATATGGGCTCTGCTTTTGCTCTTCCTATTTTGCGATGATATCATCCCAATGCCTATTATCTTCTCACACCTTTCCATAATACCAACAGTTTTCTTGTTTGCGTGCGTGTGTACATATATCTTGCTCAGAAATGATAGATACACTGTCCATCATCAGCAATGGGGGTGTTGTCCTCTGGGAGCGAAGTTCGGATTGTTCTGGGCGGCGCTCAATGGTTAACCGCGTCATTCAGGAGGTTCTCCTTGAGGAACGTGCAGGAGTGCATGAATTAGTGACGGATGACTACAAGCTTCGCTGGGCACTGGAAAATGACGCCCAGTTGTTCGTGGTTGCTGTGTACCCGAAGTTCCTCTCGTACACAAACATGAGTACCTTCCTGCGTAATATAACGAAAGGTTTTGCGAAAAAGTATGGACGGGTTCGAGATGGTCTAGACATGGAGTACGACTTCGCAGCAGAGTACACCCAGGCTCTGTCAACACTAGAGGCCGATGGGGATGATGTGGGCAACACGGATGCTGCTCTGGACGCCAGTGAGACGGCAGAAGAGGTAGACGCAGGAGAGGCACCGGCACAAGAAGAGGTGGAAGAGAGAGAGGCGACAGTGCACCGGGGTAGCAACACTATTGTGACCAAAAACGGTCATGTCATTGGGCGCAAAGGCGTAAAATCGGCAGCGGGTAAAGCATCGCCCCCATCAACAGCTCAGAAGAAGGGCAAGCCGCTGAAGCAGGCCACCCGCTGGGATGAGCCTGCCGTTGACCCTGCTGTGGAGCAGCAGAAACATTATAGGGCCCCAACAGAGGAGGAGTTAGCAGCACAAGCGGAGATTCAACGGGCGTCGTTTATCAAGCGATTGCCCAACGGTACTGTCGCACCAGTGCGTGAAAAGGAGTGGGAGAACCAGCCGAGAGGACGTTTGGCGAATTGGCTTCGCTCATACGTTGGCCGTCGGGAGCTGGACAGCCAAGATTTTCAAAATGTTATTCCAAATCTGCGCGAGAAATTGATTGCCAAGAATGTTGCTGTCGAGGTGGCGGAGCACGTGTGCAAGTCGGTAGAAACTTCACTGGAGGGGATGAAACTCGGTACGTTTGATTCTCTCCACAAAACCGTTGAGACTGCCATGGTTTCGGCGCTTCGCCGTATATTGCAGCCTAAGCATGAAGTTAACATTCTGCGTGCTGTTGCGTCAGCGCAGTCGCGAAAGAAGCCGTACTCTATTGTGCTATGTGGTGTTAACGGAGTGGGTAAGTCTACGACTCTTGCAAAAATTGTCTACTGGCTTCAGCAGAACAATCACGATATCCTTATCGTGGCGGGCGACACGTTTCGTCACGGCGCAGTGGAGCAATTGGAGGTGCACGGTCGCTGCTTGGGCGTTCCTGTCTTTCAGATGGGTTACGGCACCGACCCTTCAGCTGTGGCTGCTGCGGCCATTGCACAAGCTACCCGTCAGCAGTATGATGTGGTTATGATCGACACGGCAGGACGGATGCAGGACCATGAGTCGCGTATGCGCGCTCTCGCGAAGCTCATCCACGATAACCAACCGGACCTGGTTCTCTTTGTGGGAGAGGCGTTGGTGGGTAACAGTGGAGTTGACCAGCTTAGGAGGTTCAACCAGTGCCTTGTGGACTTTGCCCCTGTCGGGTCAGTCTCTCGTGGCATTGATGGAATTGTACTAACAAAATTTGACACCATCGACGACAAGGTCGGTGCGGCGCTCTCGATGGTGTACGAATTGGGCCAGCCTATCGTATTTGTGGGCACCGGCCAGACGTATCAGGACCTAAAAGTCATGGAGCCTGATGTCGTCGTCAGCGCGCTGATGGAGTAGTGGTTCTGAAGCGAAAAGAAAATGATATAAATATATTTATATATTTATATCATATATTTTTGAGATGCTACAGGACAACCATTCGCTTGTAACAGTTGTCACTATCTGATCTTTTCTACTCCTATTGAATGTTGCTTCTTATCTGTTTTGGTGCATGCTGTTTTCTTTTTTTCTTTTTAGTGGGAAAAAAAAGGTGGTGGTGGGGAGGGGGTAGAAGTTGGGACAGGGCGAAGTTTGACAGATGCAGATTTCGTCATGCCAAATAGGGCGCTCCGTGCCGCCGCCGCCGCCAAGTGGGCGGCTACGCTACTACTACGAGGATGGTAGGGGGAACCGGGTGTGGGTGCAGAACCTCACGCTTGACCACGAGGCGCGGCGTTTGAACAGCATTCCTTCTAGCAGCGTGTGTGGAGGGGGTCGCCACGAGAGTACGTGTTGGATTCCGTCTCTGCGGCCGAGGAGGAGTTCCGGGTGCCGCCAGAAGTCACCTGCTGTGAAGAGAGCTTCGTGGAGTGATAACCCCCAGTACAAAGAGAGATACCCGCGGCATGCTACTCCGGTCCCGGTCCGGAGGGCCACAACCTCGCCGACTCGATGTACGTGTCGTTGCCCCGTGCATTCGGGGTTGATGAATAATGTTGCCATTTCATCTGATGATCTGAGTACAGGGATGAATTTTACTTTTCTTCCTGAAGCATCGTTAAGAACGTTGATACACTCCGTTGAGGATGCAGAATATGTACTGGAGGAGCTTCGCAACGAAGAGCACTTGCTTCGAAATGCACATCGGCTATACAGAGATAGTTGATGTTTTGTTTTTATCCATGCTGTGTACATGTTTTCTCAATGGGCTACTCTTATGTTTTTACTTTTATTTTTTTTTCGGGGGAGGAGCGGAGAGAGTATTCTGCAGAACTTATGGTGTAGACTGGCACCTGCACCCCGCTCTTTTTCCCCCCTAAGTTTGTGTGGTCGTGTCCATACCCACGCGTGAAGGCAGCTTCCCAAGAGCACCCGTACTGACGAGGATGAAGCAGCTTTCCATTCTTTACTGCCGCGGCAGTGGGCTGCTGAGGACAACGGCGCTGAAAAATGGGAAAGTGCGTCTTCCACGAGATGAAGGGATCAGCGGTGAACTCCACGGTTTCACGGAGTACGGCGGCTCAATCTCCGCCTTCATGAAACCAGAGAGCGAGAAGCAAGCGGCTGCGGCGGAGCACAGCAAGGATGGGCTGCCACTTCCATGCAGCGAGGATGAGGCGGCCATTCAGGCAGCCAAGGCGCTGCACATGGCGAATGTCGCACTCAGCGGAAAGTTGCCGTCACCGCGTGATTTTCAGGTCGGACCCTTGCCATCGCCGCGACGCGCTGCGGTGAACACATCATCATTGCCATCACCATCAGCATCGTCTTGGTCTTCACTCCCACGGAGGCTACCGACGCCGCCGTCGCCGCCCCCAAATGAGTCGGTCATGTCTGCATCTCCACGGGTGAAGGCAGAGACGGCTGCAGGGGATCCTGCCATCAAAGAGTTGCATGCGAAGGAGGCGGAAGACTACTACCGCGCCGTCCCACGCAATTCACTTTCAAAGGAAGAGATGTGGAAACGCATCACCGCGGCGAATACAGACAAGGCAGAGCGTGGGTCTTCAGCTCTTCAGCCGTCTGAAGCGGACTACTTTAGGATGGAGGAAGAACTAAAGGAGCATGACTTATTTCATTATCGCATGGGTGAGATTGCCTACCCAGAAAATGAAACACGGCGGAACTATTATGCCATGTGGCAGCTGGTCATGTCCCTCAACAAGGCCCGCTGGACGATGCTGGATGTGCATTCACAGCGCGGCGTCAAGACTACTGGAGCTGGTATGAAGATCTTATTTTGGAAGGAAGCCGTCAGCCAGATTATGGAGAAGCGACAGATGGCTGCAGGCCAATTTACGGACTCTCACCCAGTGCTTCGACCCTTCGCAGCTGCTGTGGAGCAAAATCCGCATATGACCAAGGCATTTGTGCGGGGATTCACCGACGCGAGGTTGCGTGTTGTTCAACAACCAGGCAACGTGAAGCAGCTTTTTGACCATTTCGATCGTTATTACGGATATTTCTTTAACTCTCTACTGGAGGTGACACACGTGAAGGATGAAAACGCGGAGCACATGATGCAGCACATTGGTCGAGCCATTGGCCTTACACAACACTGTGTTATGTTTTGGAAGAAGTACGCCCGTATCGGCTTCACGATGCTTCCGGCTGACCTCTGCGCCGATAACCACGTAAATATTGCGCTTCTTAAGAGCATATCATTGGCGTCAAGGGACAGAGCAGTGCGTAAGCTTCTGTATGATGTCATGTGTATTGTCAAAACTGAAATGCTGCACGCACAGCAGCTGGCGCCGCATTGCCCCCCGACAGCGTGGCCTATAGCGATGGAATGTACGTATGCAAACTACTACCTCGGTTTCCTGCAGCGTTGTGACTTTAATGTGAGCGCAATGTTCGCAGATCACAATATTGAGAACGCTGGATTTGCGTGGTACCGTGTCAAAAAGCGCTGGGAATGGGAAAAGCATCAGAGCATTGAACGCCTCGTAGCGGAGGAGGCACCGCTGCCACTTATTGGCACGTCCTTGTTTCATCGCGGATCTAGCTACAAGATGGCGTCTGGCATCGGGCGGCCCCACTAAATGCATGATGCGATGAAATAGTACAGTGATCTTTTCTGCAGTGTTCTTGTATGGTTCAAATGTGGTGCTCATGTGAATAATTTCCACGTTTCCTATCGGTTTTATTCTTATTCTGTAAGGATCAGTATCGTCGTTTCCTCTCCCGGGGGTAAGTAAAGGGAAGAAGAAATTTTGTAGTCACTGCTGCGTTCATGTCAAGTGGCCCTGGCGTAGCGGTGCAAGCACTCAAGCGTCTGCTTCGTGCCACGGGCGTGGATCCTGGGAACGCCTTTTTTTCCCGTCGCCTCACCACCAGCACTACCACTTCTTCTTCAACCTCATCTCCGCTCAATAGGGGGCTCGGTGACGCTGGGGCGTGGTGCAATTACTCGGTCAGCGCACGTGACACTTTAGCGACATGTGAACTCGAGACTGAGGACTACTTTGGGCCGCACTCCCCCGCGCTGATCTGCGTGAGGGTTCGTGCAGCCACACCAGGGTGCTCATTCCCCACCTCGTGTGTTATGAGTCTCTCCACGAGCTCGCAGCGCATGGACGAGCTTGCCGTTCAAGATGTTATCGTGAAGGAGTGGATCATGAACCCTGCGAGCTGTCTAGATCCGGAGTGGATGGAGACAACCCTTTCCGTCAAGACGGTGTATCACATTGCCTGTCTTCTTGGAAAGGAGCCTGCATGCGGAACACGCATCTTCTTAACACTTCGGTTTGTTGGGTGCTGTGACACATCGAACACACATCGTATTGCCGCCGTCGAGCTGCTCTACACATCACTGCGGCAGCTCATTCCTCCTGCTCCAGTGGTGGCCCCGAAGCAACTGCAAGTTGCCGCTGACAACAACAACGCTGATGCGGAGCCAGTTGAAGTAGAACTGACACTAAGCCCTACGCCTCTTCGTTCTACTGCGGAGGACTGCGGCTATGAGGTTGCATGCGTGCGTGCGTCGGGATCGCTCCCTGAGGCGCAATATCCCGTGGAGAAAACTATCATAGTCGACAATGAGATGTCGCCAGGTGATGGACCCGACCCAGCGGTCTTGCGGCCAACATTCGTTCAGGCCCAGTGTTGTTCGTCCTGCAGCGGTGCCAGCAGCCCGATGGACGATGACATTGAACCACGCGACGACAGCGAAGACTGCGTTCTGGCGGCGTACGGCATTCATACTACAACACCCTCACCGCCTCGACGGTCGGTCACACAGCCGCGCCGCACTCTCTACGCAGACGCTGAGGATGAGGTCGCTTCGGACGATGTCATTGAGCTGCCAACTTCCCCATGCAAGACGCTTTCCAGATCCCCATCTCTGAATCGGATGCACTCAACATCAGGTCTTTGGCGGGACGACGATAATTGCGCTCCCCTTTCACCTGCACCTATTGTAGTGCACAATCGTCAGCGTTGGGAATGGGAAAGGGCCCCGCGGCGGGAAGCACCTACGCTGCCACGGTCTTCCAGGGGGGAAAATGTGGTTTCTGTTAGTTCTACGCGGGAAAGTAGTTGCCATGTACAGACCATGGACGACGCGGGGTGTGCATCGGCTCCTGTACACGAATCAGCATCTTTGTTACGTCCGGCGCCGTTTGTGGTGCCAGACCGGCGGGATTTTGTCTCCGTGACCCTCCTGCAACACCGTCATCATCATCAACAGCAGAGTCAGCAGGAGACATGTATGCGGTGGGGAGAGCAGAGAATCCATCCCACTTGTACACCTGTTATTGCTACTGGAAAGGCCACAGTAGTGGAAAACAGACGACGCATTAAAAACCTGTGCGATGTGCCAGTCTACGAGGAAAAGCACGACCTCCTGAAGACTGTAACAGAGCTTCTTGGTGTCGAGCGTGAAAGCTTATGCAGAAGGTCTTTATCCTGCCCCTCTTTAAGTGCGGCGAGAGGTCTTTCTTCGACGCGGGCAAGCATCAACTCGCGGCGGCAAAGCCCGTCACCAATGTCTACCAGAGAGGCTGACGAACACCCATTGCAAAGGCTTGTGGGCTGCGAAGTGAAAGAGCCAACTTCCACAGTAGTTGAATCCACTGTTGCACCCAATGCAGAAAAAACACCGCAGCTCCAAGACACGTTACAGGGCCCTGCTGATCCACCCGTGAAACCAGCTGCTTCGTTGAACAGGATGTGGCGTGTGCCACGTCAGAAGTCCGTATTGGCACATGAGCTGAAGACAACCAAAGTAACCCCAGAGGAAAACTCCAGTGTGTCAGATGAGCCTCCAGCGGTAGAGACGACATGCTTTCCTAAATCTGTGAAGGAACACCGCGCGAAGCGTCGGCCTTTGACGGATCGCACTTCAGAGATTAATCTTTACTGTTGCTCGAAAGATGCAAGGAACTCAGGACCAAGACTGCCACCCCAAGGGGGACAGCTTGCACTCGAGAGGGGTGTATTACTTCCATGTGACACAAGTATTCCCTCATCGGAGGACTCGGATGGACCAGCTCTCGTTGTGCAAGTTGAGCAACCAGTGCCGCCTCAAACATCGATGTGGTGGGGCGAAAGCGTAAGTGTTTACCCTACCCCTGGCCCGTCAGAGTCAGCTGTCAGAAGCCCATTCATTGGCACCTTTCTTGTGTGGAAGCACCATGTCTCCCGAAGCGGAACGGCAAAGCGGATACTTTCCCTACAACGTGACGGCGATTCCGCAGTGGTCTCCCTCAAGAAATTGGACCGCAACAAGACACCTTCGCTGGTGACGCTTCGGGAAAAGGTGGAGGTCATCACGGGCCTGCGGGCGTACTACAGTAATGCCATCCACAGGGATAACGTCCACGTGGCGGAGTGCTGCTTGGTAGTTACTTCCGAAGGAAAACAGGTAACCGCTGTTGAGATGCAGTCTGTGAGTGAGCTGCACCTTGCTGTGCAGATTCTGCTTCCAATCTGTGAGGTGAATTCCACGTGAGATCCGAGTTATTTTTTCTATGATGTATTGGTCGGTATATATGAACAGTGAAACTGGAAAAAAAAATATTACATTAGAATTGGCACACCTAGATTAGATGCTCAGAATGCTTTTTTCTATTATCTGTACTTGTATCATTCCGTAAATCGCTTGTTCTTTACTCTTCTCTCTTGGCGTTTTTAAAATTATTTTCGGCACCATGTGGTATGTGCATGCAAGATACATACAAACACCTAGTATCTTGATCCTCATTCTTTTCCCCGCATCCTCTTTCTTCAAGTCCCCGTTGTATTGCTGGCGCAGCGAAAGGAAAAAAAAAAAGAAAAGAAAGAGCTACGCGTTAAGACGATGGAGGCCCAGAATCCTGCAGTGAGGCCCTTCAAGTATGTCCTTGTCCCTGCCGATGACACCAAGGTACCAACCGAGATAACGTTCTCTGGCGGCACTGACGAGGGGCTCCGTGCGTCGATTCAGCAGTACTTCCGCAGACAACTCCTCTCACAGGACCAGAAGAACGAAATGGCAAAACATCTCGCTGAAAAAGCGAAGGAGGGTGAAAAGAAGGCGGAAGGCCAGACAACAGCCACGAGTGAGCAGCAGAACGAGATGATTGCGGATTACCTCGAGCAGACATCCTTTGAGATTGTCCCGCTTCTCATGCCAGGTCGTGGGAATAAGTTCATCGGCACCTCACTCTACATTGACGACAGTGGCCGGTTTAAGGATCTCTTACTCAACTCACGCGCGAGTAAGATTGCCCAGCGCGACATACGCGGCGACGCATTCCTCTTGTGCAACCACGATGACCCCGCTCTCGACGAGTGGAGCCGCGTCGACTGTACCCTCGCCCACTACGAAACACTCCTCGCTGACCCTCCCATGACAAACTATGACTCCTCCAATCGCGCACAAATGGCCTCTGCAGCGATGCTGCGGGAGAATGACACAAAACGCATCAGCGAGGAGGATGTGGTCAAGGCGAAGAAGGCCAAGGAGAACGGTAACGCCTTCTTTACAGCCGGTGACCTCAACGCGGCTGTGCTGGCGTACGCGGAGACCATTGACCTCACAGAGGGGCGCCGCGATCTGCTGCCCAACGAGGTGGAGGCAACTGCACTGCGAGTATCAGCACTACTCAACCGCAGCCTCTGCCTGCATCGTCTTGGAAAGAACGACGATGCCGCGAAAGACGCCCGGGCGGCCATCCACCTCGACGCAAAGAACGTGAAGGCGCATCACCGACTGGCGGTGGCGCTCTGCAGTGGACGTGACTACGACGCCGCCTCTGTGGCACTCGATGCATGTGAGTCGCTTGGTGGGGCGACCACCGACACCGCAGCCGTTCGCCAATCTATCACAGAGGGGCGCAAGCGGCTTTTGCAAGAACAAAAACAGAAATATTCAAAGCTATTCGCATAAAACATATCTATCCACATGTGCACACAAGCATTTCTCCAATGCCAGGGCCCCCTTTACCCCCCCTGCCCCCAAGAAAGAACTATTAGCACCACTGAAGCTCTGCCAAAAAAAACTATTTTTCTCTAATCATACCTTTACAGGAATTTACCGTAAAGCACCTCTAGAACCCTTTTCACAATCAATTACACCTAAAGCAACAAAAAAAATATGCAGATCTTTGTGAAGACGCTGACGGGCAAGACGATCGCGCTCGAGGTGGAGGCTAGTGACACCATTGAGAACGTGAAGGCGAAGATTCAGGACAAGGAGGGCATCCCGCCGGACCAGCAGAGGCTGATCTTTGCCGGCAAGCAGCTCGAAGAGGGCCGCACGCTGGCGGACTACAATATCCAGAAGGAATCGACGCTGCACCTTGTGCTCCGTCTCCGTGGTGGTGTGATGGAGCCGACGCTGGAGGCGCTGGCGAAGAAGTTCAACTGGGAGAAGAAGGTGTGCCGCCGCTGCTACGCCCGCCTGCCGGTGCGTGCGACGAACTGCCGCAAGAAGGGCTGCGGCCACTGCTCCAACCTCCGCATGAAGAAGAAGCTGCGGTAAG